AACGATATCTACAGGGGGGGAGGTTTCAGATCTACTTGCTGCAATGCACTCTACGGACACTTTCATCGCGCTTACATTGGGTCAAAGGATCGCATTCGATAGCCCCGTCCCTGTGCAATTCACGAATTGCCTGAGCTGACGCATGCTCTGCTTTGTTGTTGACAATAGCAACGGGGTGGGGGGTGGGGGACGTGCATTGAAGAGGGTGATCCATTCATAGAAACCCCACTAAAGTTGCCGAGAAACAACATTTCTACATGTCTCTGACCAATCTCAATGCACTCGTTAAATATCTAACCACTCTCCTCTGTTATATGGTACTATCACATTCACTGTTAAGAAGAGGGTCATTAGACATGAGTGGGGTACGTATAAATGGATCACACTGCTTTATAATAGGCGAGTCAAGTGAGATTAACACGTAGACTTTCGCGAACAATATTATCCATCTTGATTTGTAGCGTTCGTGACTGCAGCAATCCTTACTCTTTGGTTCTTTCGGTAAAGTCACGTGGTAGGTAGAAAAAATAATAATAGATCACGACGTTTCGATCGCCACACAGGCTGCTGAAACAAGTCCATTATTATTTTTTCTACCGACATGACTTTACCGAAAAGAATATTATCCATAATAAAGGCGTTTTTCGGTGAGACCTTTTTCGGTCTTAAATGGAGTAAAGGTGATGTCATCGCTGTGAGCCTATCAGGTGCGAAGAGCGAAACTTCTTCAGAATCCTGGCAAATTGCCTGATGAAGCTGGTTGTTGTAATCACCAAATGTCGTCGGTTTACTCGACAACACACCGGTGCGCTGAAGTAGCAACTAAATTACACATTTTGTTTACGTGACAAACCTCACAGATTGACTGTTGGGTGGTGGCGGGTTTAACGACACTTTTATGTTTATGCGATCGAGCCCAAAAAAAAACGATTACTATGGAAAGCAATAAAATAATAAAATTATAACACAATAAAATTGTATTGTTTTATATATTTTTAAATTATTTTATTGTTTTCCCTTCTACGTGACTTTACCGAAAGAACCAAGAATTTGAATCCCTGCAGTCACGAAAGCTTTAAATCAAAACATTACTATGGAAGTCAAGTAAGAGCGTCCCCACGCTCATATAAGCACATAATACGTGTTCATCCCTATTCTGCAGTCCTGCGCCATTTGTGAAATGTTCGTTTTCTCCATAGAATGATCACTGTTAACGTCCCACAAAGCCGTACTGAATTCACCAACTCCCAAAGATAACAATAAACTCCATCCAGGATTTCGACTGACAACCTTTGGACCGTGAGTCGTGCACTCTGGCCAAACATACCTCCGGGACAGATTTTTTTAATAAGATAACAAAAAGTTTGAAAGGAACAACTTTTGACAGCGAAGATGGCAGAGAGCAAATTTAAATTTCATTATCAAACAACACGAGAAAATCCATTCTATTGTTTATCACGAAACTTTTCTTCCAAAGGGGTTTATGGCTGAGTGCCACTGTTAACAAAGCGTTCCCTTCATCTGCCTCTGACCAGACACCGGGACTCGGAGCCAGAAATTTAAAAAAAAAACCACGACAGCGCCAGTTCTGGCTCATCCATTGCCTCCCAGTGTTGGCCTCGACAGGCAGACTGACTTCACGACAACGTCCCATTGTGGGCGAGGGGGAAAACGGCCACGTGACTGACACGCTCAACTCTCCGGACGCACGAGGCTGCTCTGGCGGTGGGGTTGAGCGGCGGGGGGACGGCATTGTAACCGCGGTGAAATTACGCCGCACAGCACGGCGCACGGCCGTCACACTCGGGGCACGGGCCGATAGGAGCACCTTGGGACTCTCGCTCACCACCACAGCCCAGTCAACTCCTTTTTTTGGTCTGTACAGTCCTGTTCTCCTATCACGTGGTGGTAGCTGCGTTCCATGAAGAACACCGCGTTATGGAAAAATCGCGTTATAATAAATAATATGTGATATAGGGCAGTGCACGGCCCCGGACAACACGAGAGATGCGTCCGCAGGCTGAACAAAGACTGCGGCGCGTGGGTGGCATCTAGAAGCATCCAGCAGCATCCCGCCTTGTACGATGCTACGCCGAGGCAGCCGTACGGCCGCTTATTCCCACTCGTGCGACGTACCACCGTTCACTCAATCGCGTTGTATCCAATTCGCGTCATGAAAACAACACGCGTGCTAGGAGAACGCACTGTGATTTGAATGCCTCTTACCGCGCAAAGCCTTTTTCATGTCGAATTCCGAGTATTTATTCAAGGAAGGAACTGTCAACGCGATTGACAATATGCAGTCACAGCTGCTGTCCCGAGACGTAACTGATCCCAATTCATAGGAATGTGGAATTTCCAACATTGGCTCAGCACCACCAGTGGAGTTTCACACTACCCATTGCCACCCAACAACTTCTCTCTCTCTCTTCAGGTCAACAATTATAAATTAATTTAAAATGTATAATAAACCTTATCAATTTAATTGAATTTGTATTTTGTATCTCCTATATATTTGTATAAAAATATGCGTGAGAGCTGGTATTAAATACACTATCTAACACCATTTTTGTTCCTGGGTAGAAAGTGTTATTTCGTAATTGCTTATGCCTAAAAAGTATAGAAATGGGTATTATTCCCCACGAAACTTTGCTTTTGTGACCAGGACAGTGATATTTTGAAATTTACCTATTTTCAACGAGAAAATAAAAATTAACATGTATTTATACCAAAGTAATACAAACATGATTTCTAAAGATTTAGAGGTGAGTAGTTTTTCGAGATTTAGATTATACTGTAAATCACTTTCACGAATCAGCCCCCAAATGTAGTCTCCCATCGTGTTCTCGTTATACGGTCCTTGACAGCAGCGTTCAAAGTCCAGTATATCCTGGTGGAAGCGCTCGCCTTGCTCCTCCGAGTACGCTCCCATGTTCTCCTTGAATTTATCAAGATGAGCATCAAGGATATGGACTTTGAGGGACATCCTACAGCCCATTGTGCCGTAGTTCTTCACCAGAGTCTCAACCAGCTCCACATAGTTTTCGAATTTGTGATTGCCCAGGAAGCCACGAACCACTGCGACAAAGCTGTTCCAAGCCGTATTCTCCTTACTAGTGAGCTTCTTGGGGAATTCATTGCACTCCAGGATCTTCTTTATTTGTGGTCCGACGAAGACACCGGCTTTGACTTTTGGCTTAGACAGCTTAGGGAAGAAGTCGTGAAGGTACTTGAAGGCTGCCGACTCCTTATCTACAGCTCTGACAAATTATTTCATAAGACCCAATTTGATGTGCAGTGGTGGCATTTATATTACTGGAAAGTTCTAGAATGTTCTATAAGTTTCTCCAAGTTTACTCAGCACTGAATCTATCTGGAATGTTCTGGAAAATAGGTAAATTTCAAAACATCACTGTCCCTTTCACAAAGGCAAAGTTTGTGGGGAATAATAGCCATTTTTGTACTTTTGAGGCATAAGCAATTAGGAAATAACACCTACAACCCAGGAACAATAAATAAATAAATAATTGTTGCTCCGTTATATTATTTTAATTAATCTTAACAGCTGTGTCAGTGTTAATAAAACAATTGACCTTAATTGTTATTTTAAACTGGTTTAGAAACATCGAATTATCATTGCATGTTATAGATCATTATCAAACAAAAATGTTTCCATCAGTTTTGACGACTATGAAATGGATGTTTACAAAACCTGTGGGCAACATCGTCATTTGCAGGGCTAGGACGTTGTGTGACTTTTCGTGGCCCGACTTTTTCCTGCATGCCTCGGTGCACACTTTGCCAGGAACGTGGTGCTTTTGAGATGGGGTTGGTGGATCATCGTGAGATCACTGTCTCGTGAATCCCCCTCCCACCACCACAATAACTCCCACCCCCCATAATGCTCGGCTGAGAGGTGGCCAGGAGGTGACAACGCACAGAGAGGCTCCGTGAGCACACGGTGTATCTGTGGAATGGTGAATGCCAAGCCCTCGTATGCGGGGGGTTTCTCTTGGAATCGCTTGCTTCCTTATACTTGTAAAATTGTTTATCGTCAAATTGGCCAAACATCTCAATGTAGGGCCCTCCTGCAAAAAATAAAAGGCTTTGAAACTCTATCGAGGTTTTTTTTTTCTCTCGATCAATATACAACGAGAATCATTTGGCATTAACAGGTCTCGAATTAAATGACTGAAATGTGCGTCATGTAACTCCTATGATTGTAAAAGCACATCTCGACATATTCGGTTGCAAATTAAAATGTTTAACACCTCAATAAGTGCAAATGTAACTTTTTTCCGCAAACACTGCAAATCATTTTACTTATCTCCATTTATAGAGCGGAGAATGCTTTTTAATGTTCAATTGAAAAAAGGTCACACGTTAAAAATGTTTTTTACCATGATTTCATGCGGGCACAATTTCGTGATTCGGCATTTTCAAGCTCCTACATTTATAAGATGAAGTCTATTTGTTTATTCGAGTGTTTTGCAATGTGATGCAGAAAAAAATACCTTCCATTCCGTTTTGTGCGACTCATGGTCTGCACGGGGCCGAACAACATTTTTAAAGTTCGATCATCAGCCCTTATGGCGACGATGTGGCCAAGCGGTAGCGCGCTTGCAGTTGAAGCTCAGAGGCCACCCTGATTATCACTAGGGGGTGCATTAAATTGTAAAAAATCCTGCACCGTTGACTTCACGGTGGACGTTAAAAGATCCTGTGACGTTATTTGAAAGGAGTAGGCCAAGCGTGGCAGCATTACGCTTCACATTTGACCAAAATAAATACAATTACCTGCAAATGATTTCATGATGTAATGCTACATAGCAACATACAGCAAGGATTACCATATATACTAAATTTTCATTAAAAACAATTTATTTATTTTTAGTCACGGTATTAACCTCACCTTACCCTGCAGGAACCGAGCGCGACAAAGAGTTGTTATAAACTTGAGCAACGGCAGCAGTGGCCGTGACCGTGCGAGCGATCCTCACCATGAACAGAATGATGGGAAGCGGCTTGGTGGGCAGGCCCAGCTCGCCGCGCGGGTACTCCCCGCTGTAGTCGTTGCCGGGCGACAGCTCCTCGAACACGGCCACCAGATCGCAGAGCGACTCGGCGACGATGGAGCGCAGCAGGTTGGACATGAGCGTCGCGACGCTGCCGAAGAGGTGGTCCATCCTCTTCGTCCTCAGCACCTGCGACGGCAAAGCCGGCGGCGTCAACTCGCCCGCATCGCACTCGAGAGGGGTTGTGGACCCGCGCTTCATTCGCCACGACGTCCGACGTTTCGCTCAGTGTTCCCCGGGAGCTTCGTCGGTAGCGCCCGTCTGGAAGCAAGTTCGGTTCCCCGAGGAAGGAGAACGTTGGACATCACGTGGTGCAAGCCGCGCATTGCATCGGAGAGCCATACGGCACGACGTTGAAAACCTATGCAGCAGCAGCAGCATCACTGGACACTCGCCAGAAAGGGCAGACTAAAAATACAAAACTGGCGACGAATAAAATAAAGTGCACACAACTCCTGTACCCCCTAATTAAACTGTGCTGGCAGAGGCATTCAGATCAATTTAAGACAGCTTCCAGAGACTACATCCCCCGACCTACCCCCCGTACCAAATAGCAAGTTACTAGGTCGAATGCATCTTATGTGGGCTATGACACTGGAACAGGGCCTGCTTTGCAAATAGTGTCACAAGGGTTTTGGTGTCCTCATTACAGAAGGAACTGGTAAATCACCGGGGACATTATGCAGCAGAGAACTATAGATCCACACGAACTGTGTTTGTATACGTGTACAGTTACGAGTGTATCTGGACAGGACGACCTGCAGCAGAGCACTCAACGCGCATGTAGAAGGTTTCGGAGTTACAAATCATGACCTAGGATTCCAACGCAGCCCATCACCCGCAAGGGTCAATAAAATAATCTCATCTCTGCCACCTCCTGCACATTACAAGTAGGGTAAGAGTTCTAAGCCTTGCATGGCTGGATTCCATGCAGAGCCAAAGGTTTTGCAGCTGATGGGGCCATAATGTCAGTTGATAAAATCAATAACCAGGTGGGATGCCAAGTTTCTTGCAGCATCGCGCGTGCGCGCAACCTACAATTATAGGCGGCCAGGTAGCGCAAAGGCCAAATGCTCCAATTGACGAAAACAAGGTTGAAAATTCACTTAGCCCAGCCTACCCTCCCGTCCACATTAATAAAATGAGAGCCACTTTGGTGGGAAGTCAACAGGGGCCGTCCGACGAAGAAGAGACCTGGCCCCCGTGAAAAGGAAAATGAAATTTCCACCAGTGGCTCAGGGTCGCTAATGGAGATGAGTGCTGGCACCATTGCTCATGTGAGCAGGAGGACACTTTGACCCTTTGAGATGCCCTTGTAGCTTGTGCTGCAGACTCGTTCCGTGTGCCCTCAGCACTTCTATGCTATTACACAGTTTTTTTTTCATTTTTACCAGCTAAGGCCCACTGACCTATATAGCTCTTTTTCAGAAGCGACCTGGCCACACAATGGGACTCCTCTTCACTCATCATCGTCATCATTAGTCATGCCCACTGCTTGACGAAGCCAGCAACCCCAACTAATCGGGACTCTTCCTATTTGTGCCAAAATGTGCCAAGCATGCTTACCTCTCGGAGTGTCATGCAAACAGTCTACCGGTTTGAATAAACAAACAAATGCATGGCAATAAAAATAAAACCACACACGCATATTCATTAGCCCAGATGAATTATTTATTGTTCACAAAACAGAGCAACACAGATGGTAAAAAAAAACCCTGATAGCAAATCCTGTCAGCTCTCACTGCACACCGTAGGGGCTAAATTAAAACGGATGATAAGATATGTTTGTACATATTTCTCCATGCCGTAACCTTTGGCTATGGCATGACAAGCTATTTATCTTAGAAAAATAATAATGGCAGTAATGATTTTTTCTTTAAGTGCAATGCCGCCTGTGTTTATAGTCTGTGTAGATACCTGAGAACATCAAAGCAAGCCCAAATTACCTGACTCAAATCATGAAAAAATATATTTGCGCGTGCACAGCGCTATATCTACGAATCAAAATCGCAATTAGTTACCGACGAGAGAAGCCTCACTGGGTCTTCAAATGTTTTTTTTCAGGAGGGTTCTGTATGGCTCTATGGGTCGCTGAATGATGGCGTGCCAGGAGAAGGCTCATATAACTATAGGAACGAAGAATTACGCACCGACAAGTCAGCAAACCTCCTTGTGTTACTGTCTCCTATAGCCACGTTGCTGCCTCTGCAGGTGAGTGTGTCACACACAATCACAGGTGAGTGTAACACACACAATCACAGGTGAGTGTGTCACACACAATCACAGGTGAGTGTGTCACACACAATCACAGGTGAGTGCATTACACACAATCACAGGTGAGTGTAACATACACAATCACAGGTGAGTGTAACACACACAATCACAGGTGAGTGTGTCACACGCAATCATAGGTGAGTGTAACACACACAATCACAGGTGAGTGTGTTACACACACAATCACAGGTGAGTGTAACACACACAATCACAGGTGAGTGTATCACACACAATCACAGGTGAGTGTGTTACACACACAATCACAGGTCAGTGTGTCACACACAATCACAGGTGAGTGTGTTACACACAATCACAGGTGAGTGTAACATACACAATCACAGGTGAGTGTAACACACACAATCACAGGTGAGTGTGTCACACACAATCATAGGTGAGTGTAACACACACAATCACAGGTGAATGTATCACACATAATCACATGTGAGTGTAACACACACAATCAAAGGTGAGTGTGTCACACACAATCACAGGTGAGTGTGTCACACACAATCACAGGTGAGTGTAACACACACAATCACAGGTGAGTGTATCACACACAATCACAGGTGAGTGTGTCACACACAATCACAGGTGAGTGTAACACACACAATCACAGGTGAGATGCATCACACACAATCACAGGTGAGTGTGTCACACACAATCACAGGTGAGTGTAACACACACAATCACAGGTGAGTGTGTCACACACAATCACAGGTGAGTGTGTCACACACAATCACAGGTGAGATGCATCACACACAATCACAGGTGAGATGCATCACACACAATCACAGATGAGTGTATCACACACAATCACAGGTGAGATGCATCACACACAATCACAGATGAGTGTAACAAACACAATCACAGGTGAGTGTAACACACACAAATCACAGGTGAGATGCATCACACACAATCACAGGTGAGTGTAACACACACAATCACAGGTGAGTGTATCACACACAATCACAGGTGAGATGCATCACACACAATCACAGGTGAGATGCATCACACATAATCACAGGTGAGTGTAACACACACAAATCACAGGTGAGATGCATCACACACAATCACAGGTGAGTGTGTCACACACAATCACAGGTGAGTGTAACACACACAATCACAGGTGAGTGTGTCACACACAATCACAGGTGAGTGTGTCACACACAATCACAGGTGAGATGCATCACACACAATCACAGGTGAGATGCATCACACACAATCACAGGTGAGATGGATCACACACAATCACAGGTGAGTGTAACACACACAATCACAGGTGAGTGTATCACACACAATCACAGGTGAGATACATCACACACAATCACAGGTGAGATGCATCACACACAATCACAGATGAGTGTAACACACACAAATCACAGGTGAGATGCATCACACACAATCACAGGTGAGTGTGTCACACACAATCACAGGTGAGTGTAACACACACAATCACAGGTGAGTGTGTCACACACAATCACAGGTGAGTGTGTCACACACAATCACAGGTGAGATGCATCACACACAATCACAGGTGAGATGCATCACACACAATCACAGGTGAGATGGATCACACACAATCACAGGTGAGTGTAACACACACAATCACAGATGAGTGTAACACACACAAATCACAGGTGAGATGCATCACACACAATCACAGGTGAGTGCGTCACACACAATCACAGGTGAGTGCGTCACACACAATCACAGGTGAGATGCATCACACACAATCACAGGTGAGATGCATCACACACAATCACAGGTGAGATGCATCACACACAATCACAGGTGAGATGCATCACACACAATCACAGGTGAGATGCATCACACACAATCACAGGTGAGATGCATCACACACAATCACAGGTGAGATGCATCACACACAATCACAGGTGAGTGTAACAAACACAATCACAGGTGAGTGTAACACACACAAATCACAGGTGAGATGCATCACACACAATCACAGGTGAGTGTAACACACACAATCACAGGTGAGTGTATCACACACCATCACAGGTGAGATGCATCACACACAATCACAGGTGAGATGCATCACACATAATCACAGGTGAGTGTAACACACACAAATCACAGGTGAGATGCATCACACACAATCACAGGTGAGTGTGTCACACACAATCACAGGTGAGATGCATCACACACAATCACAGGTGAGATGCATCACACACAATCACAGGTGAGTGTAACACACACAATCACAGGTGAGTGTGTCACACACAATCACAGGTGAGTGTGTCACACACAATCACAGGTGAGATGCATCACACACAATCACAGGTGAGATGCATCACACACAATCACAGGTGAGATGGATCACACACAATCACAGGTGAGTGTAACACACACAATCACAGATGAGTGTAACACACACAAATCACAGGTGAAATGCATCACACACAATCACAGGTGAGTGCGTCACACACAATCACAGGTGAGTGCGTCACACACAATCACACGTGAGATGCATCACACACAATCACAGGTGAGATGCATCACACACAATCACAGGTGAGTGTAACACACACAATCACAGGTGAGTGTATCACACACAATCACAGGTGAGATGCATCACACACAATCACAGGTGAGATGCATCACACACAATCACAGATGAGTGTAACACACACAAATCACAGGTGAGATGCATCACACACAATCACAGGTGAGTGTGTCACACACAATCACAGGTGAGTGTAACACACACAATCACAGGTGAGTGTGTCACACACAATCACAGGTGAGTGTGTCACACACAATCACAGGTGAGATGCATCACACACAATCACAGGTGAGATGCATCACACACAATCACAGGTGAGTGTAACACA